ACACCATAACTATTGCGACAACAAGCCAACCAGCTAAAATCGACATGCGACAAACACAGCGCGACCACAACTTGCAAACTTGCACAAATTTAGTGCAACATCTAAAATTATACACAGCCACGAACGAATAGGCAAACGTAATCACGGCATGTCGCGATCGGTCAACGTGTGCGCGTACATACATAAATAGAGAAATAAATGTATGTATGTATGAGTGTAGAAATTTTGCTAGGCATAGATATTTCAAAGAGCTGGGCAAGCCGTTGGTTGACAGCTTCAAAGTTGTACAAAGCGGTCAGCATACGTTAATGTAAGTACATACGTGGCGTATACGCAACATCGACAGTTTAGTCTTGCGGCAGAGAGATTTTTTGCACTGCGATGATGTTTATTGCAACACATTTTTATGTCCGCACCAATAGATAAAAGTGAAAGTTTACAAAGTATGTCGATATCTAAAAATATGTATAGGTTTAGTGTGAATAAGTAGTATATTTGTTTCTAACATAAAGGAGAGAATGATGAAAATTAGATATTTTTGGCATAACTATTAATGCAACATAAACTACGAGTATAGTAAAGTTTTTATGCAAAAAAAGCGAATTATTCGATGCCACATTTCTCACAGTAGGGTTTTATTGATAGTTTCATACGACCCTCATTACATCTTGTCTCAGTGCTTAACAATTGGTGGTTTCTTCGAAACGGACAATAGAAATTTGTATGTTTGAACGATTTCGAAAAAATACTTGAATGTTTTAAAATAAAAATAATTTTTAGAAAAATCACGGCATAATTCTCGTCTAATACTTGTATGTTTTAAGAAAAAACAAGAAAAAATGTTCAACTTACCTCTTAATTCCACTTCAGTGAATGGTTTCTTTTTGACAGACTGTAAAAAAAATTATCAAGAAAGTAATTTAATATGACTTCAAGTATTTATGTAGATATGTAACTATGTACTACATATCGCAGGAGAAAAGATGCTTAGTCCACTTTTCAAGAAATTTAGTCGTTTGATGCAAATTATTGAATGCTGCGCCCAAGAAACAAGTCCATATTTGTCAAAAAGATCGCCCTAGGTGATTAATGGCTTTCTTATTTGCACATAGATGAATTCAGATTTAAAAATTTTGTTTTATGAGACCACCTCAACATATTTACTTAAAAAATTTCCACAAAATAGACTTAACATCTTTTTCACCTTTACGTAACGATATGCATTTTTTTTTTAGATATTTGTAAGTTCAATTGGTAAATAAAAACATCGCTCACCTTTGTGGTACGTTTCCCCAGCAATGCTGTTCCCAGCATCTGAAAATACAAATAAACCAGCATTGAAAAAATATCACAACAAATTTTAGATAGGGTTTTAAAACCTTAAAAATGAACCGAGTGTTGAGCCTAAGATTTTCGTCTAAGGCTATCGTAAGTTAAAAAGCTTTATCCGACTCAATATTTCCCAAAGGCATTTTTGGTTGACTGCTCCATATCTTTCACAATACTCCATAAAATTTAATGATTCAACCACCATAGCGAAAGCAGACCACAGTTAAACCCATGGCTGTACTGGCTCAAATTTTTTTTTTTTTATAAATCAGAAGCCCAAATTTATCCGAAAACGCTTATTTGCAAAATCTATGTTCGGTATTTTAAAAACGGGCATTAGAGGGTTAATTTAGCCACTAAAACCCTTGCGCTCATTTCTTTACGGCGACTTATTTAGCAGTACAAACACACTTCTTGGTAAATTCCCACAAATACAATGAAAAGACATCTACGTTACGTTATGAATAGGTAGATCTGTGAATTGCCATTCAGTAGGCCTCGGGTTCGAGAACAAGTCAGTGCAGATTTTTTTTCTGTCCCACACTTTTCCTAATGGACAACAACATTTTTTACAATAGTTTTTTTGCTCTCCCTCCTTTGCCTTCACATTCGATAGTTTGACATGGAAGCGACGACATTTCTTTTTTTGGCTTTATTAAAAAGATATCCCCTCTGGTAAGAAGAGGAATGCGTGGATAGCGTTGAATTGTGATATTTAACATTACTGACTTGTTGAATGAGTTTTAATTCTCTATTTTATTCTGAAGCTCATAAATAAGCTTGGAATAAAATCTACGCAGGTGCCTTTCGTTTGACACCGATCGTTTAAAGTTGTATCTACATACTTATTTAATTGTTTTACTATAGAACGAACGCATCGACATTATTTTTTCCAAACACCTTCAACAATTATCGCCATATTTCGCCAATTCACAAAAACAAAACCTAATAAATTATACACGAAAAGCTTCCTCCAGAGTCACACCGTCAATTAATGAAAACCGTAAAAAATCCTTTAGGAAGCTTTTGAGTTTAGTGCGTTCAGACAGGCAAACAGACGTTTTAGGGCACTACATTTAATAAAATCTAGAGATGTACAATATTTGAATGTATGTATAGTGTATTGAGCATATGTAAACAAAAACCACATGAAACCACAACATTTTTTCTAGCTATGTATAAATTGTTCATATTTTTGGTGGCCAACTATGACGAAATGAGGTGCATACATACATAAACATATGTATTTGTACTCTTTTAATTCTATCGCAAATTATTTCGAAAATCCTGTAGTACTACTTAACGTTTCGCTTTTTCAACAGCTTTTATATTTTATAATTTATTTCGAAATTACAAAAATGTAGAAAGTAATTTAAGTACTAAATAATAACCAAATTGCAAAACATGTCTGTAAATTAGATTCAAAAATGTTTTGCAATAAATGCAAAGTATTCAAATTAAATATGAGAATCACAAATATGCGCTAATGATATTGCAGGCTGGTCACAAAATACTTATTCTTAAGCGCAAAATTTAATTAAAAATTTTAGTTGTCGTTTGTTATACCCAAGTGTTTTTTTTTTCTAGGATAACGAAGTATTTTTTTTCTGATAAACATAATATGTTTACAAATGATTAATTAAAATTTGCTACCTTGGTAATAGGTCTGTTGAGGTATGAGTACGGTGACCATTCGTACCGATTTTGGCGGGACAGTAACGATTTTGAGGAAATTGTCCCTCTAAATATTTTTTAAAAGTCGGGACGTGTATGTAAGTGTCCCGATTTTTCATATTTGTACCGATTATGTCCCGATTTTTAGTGTTTTCTTTATTAATTTAAAAAGAGTCTCCCTGTACTCTGACGCAAAAACAATTTTTCTTACAAACGTGGCAGCACATTCGTTATAACAAAAAACATTGATTATAAGCGGGCCATAACGTAGCCAGCATCCTTACTTTATATGATCTTTGGTTATGTTTTATTCTGTCAAACTGGTACTCTCCCTATATTGCAGTCTATCACTCTTGGCAGATTTTTTTAAGGTTTTTATAATTATTTGTTAAGCTTTTTTTTCATGACATGGTTCTAACTTGAATTAAGTGAAATTATAAAAAAATAATACTAATTCCCTCTAAAAATGCATGGATATGAAAAATATAAGCTGTAGATACAGTGGCAAAAAATTAATATTTCATGTTTATTATTTTTTATGAAAGTGTAGTTCGTTATTTAACAAATACCATGCAATTCAAAATTTCAAACGTTGTTTAAAAATTAGCGATGTTCGACAAAGTTTCATCAAAATGTTGAGTTTTTTGATTAGATGTCTTAGAAACATTCCGAGTGTGCAGTTTTGCAGCCCATTCAATTCAAAGTGTAAATTTTAAGTACCGTTGATTTTTTGTAATTTTTGTTTGTGAAAGGTGTTGCTCATTTTCTCCATATAAAAAAATTGTCGAACATACTTTGTATGGAAGAAAACGCGCGAACAAAAAAATTGCCAAAAATCAACGGTAAGTCCAAACTACTTCAAACTTGCACTTTGAATCTAAAAAATCTGTTTAAAATGTTTAAAATTTTTATCAGCATTTGTTAAAATTCAATGTTTTGAAATTTCAATTTACATGGTTTTTTTAGATAATAAATTTATTTTCATAAAAAATAATACAAAAATTTTAAACAAAGAAAAGAAAACCAGCCAAAATGTATCTTCCTTATTTATATGCTCGCCACCGTATATATTGTGTGTATACATTTATGCGATAATTTTTCAAGTTTGTTTCTCTTTTTTTTTGTTTTAAATAAAACTATATTAAAAGATGTTATGTCTTTTTATTCTAAAAACAAAATTGTATTATTTGAAAATTATTATTGAATTTTTACGATAATTTCTTTAAGCTTCCCCCATTTTTCGACTACCTTTAAGTGCGGAATTATGTCTCACATTTTAACTTCTTATGCCCACACAAATTTTAACATTTAATTAGCAAGGGTCTCGCCAACGAGTAATAGTGCCAAATCGTTTTAACAAATGGCCATGCATTTTACGAGACATTGCACTGATTTACATATAATGTTGTATATCTGTCTGTTGTACTTGAGAAAAATTTTTAAATTTTTTTTTAATGTATTAACGTAAAAATTTTAATTACGAGTGCAAATGTATGTTTGTACAATATTTGAATGTAACAGAAAAAAATGTATACAAACTTGCGTTTGTTGTTTGTTTAAATACATGAATATCAACTACGATGGTAATAAAAAAAAAACGCAAAACAATAAACGGTAAACGGTGCAAATGAGCTAATCAAATCTTGTGATTTATTAGCAATTGAAGAAAAGTTAAAAGCTCTTTCGGCACCTTGATATAGACAAGCAAGTATTTCGCGTACGCTTCAGCCGTTCATCCACTCATGCGCGTGAGAATAAATTTGTATATGTATACACACACGCTATGAATTTTAATATTTTTGAATATTTCTTTTCTGTACACAAACGTACATTTGCGATTTTCTTAATAAAACGCAGATAAATTAATTAGTCATAAAAGCAATTTAAAGCACATTTCAAGTCTCGTGTGAACAAAGGAAAATCGTTGACTGTCTGATGTGTACATTTAATTAATACTATGTATGTACATACATACATACATATGTACATATTTATATTTATGTATACACAAATCAAAGTCTGAAATTTTAGTTGTGCGTTTTTGGATGAAATAACGTAATTGGGCAGCTAAAGAATCAAATAGATGGAAATATTAAAAAATAAAAATTTCAAAAATTGGCGTGCAAAATGTAAACACAAAAACGTTGTCTACGTCGCTTTCTGCGGTGCCGAAAAAAAACATTATAAATGCGTCTATGCTTTTGGCGCTTTTAGCGAATTAGTTGAAAAAAATATATACAAAAATAATAAATAAATATATAAGTATAAAAAAAAATTAGAAGTTTAACGTACCTACATATTATGTACATTAGACTGAATCACTATCCATACAAAAAAAAAAATCTGTACGGAAACACAGTACAGTACATTGGAATTATAAAATCTATTATATTTTAAAACTTGCACCAGAATATTTCGGAAAAATATTAAGATTTACATGTGCTGGACCTATTTGAGAATACCTCCAAAAATAGAGTTCTTTATGAACAAAAATAGGTTTTTAAAATTTTTTTTAATCCCCTCAGATGACAAAACAGTTCAAGCTTAATAAAATATGCATACAAATATTTAAAAAAAAAAATGTTCAACGAAATCGTAATAATGAGATTTTTTTATTTTTTTCAAAGATTGGTATAATAAAAGCTTGAATTACTGAGCCAAAACTATTCCGATTTAGACTTAAACGAGAGGTATCATTGGAAAGGTATTTCCTCACCCTTTTTGTTTCTTTGCAAATTAATTCATGCAAATTATGAAAGATTATTACAATTCCGTTGAAAATTTTTCTTAAATATTTTTATGCAGATTGTTTAAGCTTCAACTGTTTTATCATCTGAGGCGATTTTTTTTGCAAAAAGTTCTTTAAGAAACTACTTTTATTCGTAAAAAACTACATTTTTGGAGGTATTTTCCAGTCGGCCCAGCTCACGTAAATCTTAATATATTGCCGAAATATTTTGGTGGACGTCTACAAATATAAAAAAAAATTTGTAATTCCGGCGGAAAAAACCGCAACTTGTTTTGGTGATGCAGTCTAATGTACATATNAGTATACATACGCATCCCATTTCATCGAGTTTTTTTTTGATAATTTTGGTGAGAAAAACATAAACTTTAATTTTTTCCTTTTAAAATGCTTGCCGTATTTGGAAATGTTTAGACTATCAAAAACGTGAAATTATAACAAACTGGACAATTTTTTCTTTAATACAACTATTTGAAAAACGGCATTCAAACTTATTTAGTAAAACCAAATTAAAAAGTGACCCATTTAGATCGCTCGATCGTCAAGGGTTAAGTTTATTGCCAATCAATAAAAAAACCGCGATGGCTAGTTTTGTACATATGTATGTTTATATCTAGAGTTGGGAAGCGATTCAGTGCCTACGACTGTCATTAAATTAAAAAAAAAACATAATCTAGCGATCTCGTTGTTGTTAAAAATCGCGGAAACTAGAAAACATAAACAAATAGTCAGCAGTTTCTAATTGGCATTTGTTGTCCCAAATCTCAATGTAATTAACATATTACAAATTCTGCTTTGTTTTTTTTTTTTTGCATTCCAATTAGTAAATGTCTTAGGGAATTTTTCGCTAAATTAGAACATCTGAGGCAATTCAAATTGGCAATGGTCAATATGCCATAAAGCGCTATAAATAACTACATAAATAAATAAAGAAATATATTTTTAAGGTGGCTGAAGTAGCCAGCTGAGCTGATACGTAGAGAATGTTTTCTATTTCAATGGAAATCAACCGCATATCGGAGATACATACTTGGCCTAAGCAATAAAGCATGCGCATACATGTTAAATATGTATGTTGTATTTGAGTAATACATATTTAAATGAAGCATTTTTGAACAAGAAACAACACTAACACTTGGGCAATGCAGCCCGAACTGCTAGTAAATAATCGCCAAATAATTTTAGTATTATGTATGTACATACTTGAATGCCACGTTGCAAAAATATTTGATTTTATGTGTTAATTTCTTAATTTGCAATTAAACTCGAACAATGTACGTACAAGCTCTCATTGTATGCGCTTCAGGTGCGAATGAACACATTCAATGTTTTTATATCCATGCCAACATGAAAGGCAAACAACCAATGTGGCCATGAACGTGTTAAGTGCGCACCTCAGCGTGTGTTTTGAATATAAATGGCCCGATAGATGATGTACTCGTACTCGTATAAGATGTCGATAACGTGGTGCATTTTTTGAGTCATCGATTTTTATTAATTTATTCTTTGTACGTAGACACAGTTTTTTATTTATATGTTTTAATACAACTGATGATTAATCAGAAATGTTCAAAGAATTTACATACTTAGGTGATCGTGTTGGGAAGCTTGAAAAGTTGAAAATATGATTGGATTTGCTGATTGTGTATTGGTAACAATTTTAAGATTTCTTATGCTGACTACACACGAGGCAACCGTCAAAGCCACTTACCAAATTTTCTTCCGTATATTCATTTCATAAGGTAGCACACACCCCGGAGGTGATGCAATAATTGGCTCTACGGTTGCCCAGCAAGTATTGAACAAGAAAAAGAGCCAGCCAATATATTGAATCCCCGAAAATGTAATGGTGCCCGGAATGGAGCTTGCGATTGCAAAAGACTTCTGAACGAACAGACGGCAACGCAACTAGGAATGGGTAAATACGATATTCGAAGCTTCGATATTCGAATTTTAGCTCCAAAATGGCGAATTTTTGATAACGAACTTTGTGTTGCTAAAATTCGGATAAAATCGAATTTTTCTATAAAAAATCGAATTTCATCTTTATTTCCAAAAAAATTCAACTCTTCAGCTTTCTTCTTTCTGACTAAATTTGTCATCACTGTGTGTGTGTAAAATACATGTTTTTCGATCTGACGCATCGAGACAAAAATCTGTGCCAAGAAGGAACTGTTATTCCAAACTCAAATTTAAAAAATGTTTTGTAAAAAAGTAGTATTTTTTTTATTTTTTATTTTAAATTTTTAGAGGCTTCCAGCATGAAGCTTTTGCCTGAGAAGACCCCTAGTAAAATTTTCAGGAGAATAATTTTTTAGAATATATCCAACCTCTAACGACCTTCCAAATTTGCTTTTTGCGGGATTTCTTGAAGTAAGGGTCAAAATGCCCCTTTTAGGCGGGAGCTAATGGGTTAAAATATTCTACGAAAATATTTCCCATGAAATTTTATTATATATGTCTTAACCTTTCATTTCGCCAGACATTTGTTTTACCTATTTTTTCGACTTTTTTGAAAACTACTTAGGCCGAGAAATGAAAACTTTAGTAGGTGAAATAAAAATACAAGCTAACTTTTGCAAATCCACCGTGTGTTTTACTACTGGGTATACTTTCAGAAAATGTTAACAAAGTCCGGGCTGGTTTCGGCTGTCCCACAGTGTAATTTGAGTTTGACTTTTTAAACAGGTGGCCACATTTTATGACTTGGTGTTAAATATTTAACGCAAACATCTCCGAACTCGATTAAGAAGTTTCACGTCAAAAAAAAATTGGTAATTCCAAAAAATTCGAATTACATCGACTTTGCACCATCAAATTTCGAATCGAATAATCGAATGGTTGGGCAATGTTCGAAATTTGGAAAAAATCGAATTTCAACACTACCCACCAACTATGTAGATACGTAGCTGTAGAGTCTGCCCATGTTATCATCCAAAACCGANGTCAAAAAAAAATTGGTAATTCCAAAAAATTCGAATTACATCGACTTTGCACCATCAAATTTCGAATCGAATAATCGAATGGTTGGGCAATGTTCGAAATTTGGAAAAAATCGAATTTCAACACTACCCACCAACTATGTAGATACGTAGCTGTAGAGTCTGCCCATGTTATCATCCAAAACCGATGACAAGGCAGAAAAATCGAACAAAGCGTTTTAGTGTCATTAGCTTTCTGGCTCAGTACATCAAATGTTGCGGGTTCGATTCTCGCTGAAGTTTAGAGAGAGAGAAGTCTGACGAGCAGCAATAATCTCAACACCTGGACTTTGTGTGAATATCCCGAGTTATGTAGAAGACGACAAAAACTTTTGGGTATAGAATTTTTAAACGATCTAACCTGTAGAGATTTGTTGACTCCACGAACTGTTTCAAAGAGAAGTAGGGGTTTAGAAACACCTGCAGTATATCAAAGTACTCAAAATGTATGCCTGCGCGTGCTAGTAGAAACACCAGCAGTCACTTGTAGCTCACCTAACCTTATAACATTCAAGACTGTTTAACTTTTTTTTTGTTTCTTATTAAGCCAACGTCGCAGCCTAGCTTAGAACCCAGACAGAGTGGTATCATAATGGTTTGGAGCAGCCACATTGAGCTAACATGACCTCACTTTGAATCAACCAAATTTACATCGAGTTCCATTTTGATGATGGATAATTTATTTCTTTCCTAGTATAAGTATAATTAAAGTACAATACACTATCACATTTTCTTTGATGTTAGCTAATGGCCAACACTAATTCATAACAATTATTGTCACAATGTACATTATCTTAATGATCTTTATGAAATACCTAAATAAGCTTTGATAAAGGAGAATGGCGGCTGTGGCTGAGTGAGTGGTTAGAGGTGCGTACTACCACTCCATGGGACCTGGGATTGATACCTGATACCTAATCTGATGATAAGATTTCGTATTTGACAAGCCGCATATCTCCGCCAGAAAACAATGTCCACGTCACCAAGAGAGCGCTTATGGTAGACAAGTCATTCTGACCCTACAAGAATTGTGAAATGCAAGATATTTTTTGGCTAATTCGAGAGGTGACCACACTAACCGAATGGCATTTTGAGAGCATTTTAAAAAGAATCCGCAACTGAACTAAGGGAGGAATCAAATAAAATACAGCCCTGCCCATAATTTTTTAAATTTCAATTTTGTTTATCATCAAAAATCAACGCGATTTTTTAGCAACATGAAACTAGCACTTTATTGTACTAAAATTTAATGGGCTAAAAACTACATATCAAAATTTCTAAAGATTCTGAATAAGAGGTCGGAAATTTTGGTGAAAGTTTGCAGAATTTTTGCCTTTTTTTGCAAAAAGTTAGGAATTTGAATTTATATGTTTTTTGTTAGAAACCGAGCTAGGCTTTTAAAAAGAAAATATTTAAATTTTAAATAAACAAGCCAAAATTAAAAAAAACATCATATATTGGGGAGCCTAATACTTTTGGCCAAAGCTGTAAGAAGTTGGGTGGGGTTTATTTTTTTTTTTTGTTTTTAATTATAAATTGAAAATATATAAAGCTTTTTTTTACTATAAATACTTATCGTTTTTACTAGTTACTTATGAAGTCAATGCCAGTAATTTTGTCTAAAGGGTATCTGATGTAAAATCAAAACAAAAAAAAACGTGAACAACGATCACGATTACACACATACATACATACGTACATAAGTATGCACATACAGTTTTTCCTGAGTAGAAAATTAGCAAATACATATATATAAATATCAGCATTAGGGCAACAATCGCCACTTGGAAGCTAAATATAAAATCAAATAAGCTTACCTTTAATTGCTGGCGTAGGCCACTCATTGCGCTCATTCGAATTAGAAATGAACACACTAGTGATATATGTATTTGAAGTTATTTGCTTATTTTTGAGGAGATGCTTTTAGAGCTTTTTTTTGTTATTTTTTATGCGGGCGTAGAATTAAGCCTGATAATCAATATTTATAATTTCAATTAATCACTTAAATTTTGTATGTTTCAAATATAACACCTTTTTTTTGTTGAAGAGCACTAAATCCTTATCAATTTTATTTTGTCTACCATGTAAACATACATACTTATATTAATTTAGCTTTTAAAAAATTTCGCTGTTTTTTTTTTAATTATTTGTTGATGCACTAATATGTAGTATATTTGTTTTTATCAATAAATCTATATTATTGATTTTGCAATAGATTACACAGCAGTCTGCGCAGGTATGTTATATATATATAATTTTTTTATATTATATTTACGTATGAGGTGTGCAGCATTTCAGCTGCTGAACTGTTTTGACGCGAATGCGCACATTTTCGCAATCTAAATGATTTCGACGACTGATGTGAAATTTTAACACTGACGTCCGAGCAGGTCTAAGAAAATTACACTACTCGTTCGTATGTACATATATATGCATACATCTATATATGTATGTAGGCAGAAAAAACGCACGGCGAAATGTGTGCCAGTGGTCACGAAATTCATATAAAACTGTCTCAACACTCGGGCGCGCTAAGTTGCTAAATAGCTAATATGGGCGACCGAAAAAAAAATCTCATAATTTTCAATATATGTAAACGTAAGAGCGAACGAAATAAATCACCGAAATGTATCAACTCAATTTCCGAGCAGTAGTAGTTAAAACAATCACTGAAAGTACGCGCAAAAATTTTCGAATGCGAGCCGTTTCGCAGCAGATTTTTAAATAAAATTGAAAATTGTGCGGCGAATAATGATCACCGATCAATGAGCACTGGCGCGTTGTGGTACCGGCAACATTTACAGCAACAGCCCCAGCCAACAACAAAAACGACAACAGCAAAAACAAAATCAATTGCTAGGCAGAGATTGAGATCGCCCCATGTCGAATATAAACAAAAGCTGTGCGATTTCAAAGTAAAAATGAGCCGGTAACAAATACAAAAAATAAAAATAAAATAAAGGCTAGAGAAGATATTTTGGTAGAGAAAAAAAAATTGGTGCAGTGAAACGTAACCTAACAAACATATGTATGGGCGTTCTCTGTCCGACGAAGCGTTTGCTATGAGGAGACATCGTTTTGTACCTAATGCACAAATGCAAAAAAAAATATATATCGAAAGACTTTTGTAAAAACAACTTAATTCCACTTGCACCTAGTGGACTAGTGAAATGTCATGAAATCTCATTTATTTGGGTAAAGATGAAAAGGAGAGCCAGCTGCCGCACGAAATAGGTTAGCTTAGGTGAGCACATATAGATATGTATGTATGTATGTGTGTATACTCTTCCACTCGAAAATATATCGAGCCCTAATCGCCAAAAAAACGTAAACGAAATTGATTTCAAAATTTTCTGTTAGATGCAGAAATGGTTCTAGGGTTTGTTCATTTTGATTACAACCTGTGAGTTCCTGTGAGCTTGGGGAGCATTTCTCTAACTGAACTACTTCGAAATATTCATCCTAATATCCGGCTAAAATACTTGCTATCACAGATGACATCAATGAAGTCCAATAGCGCCCCATCTACACTACCTTCACCAGACTATGGAACAAGCCAGAGCAGCACAAGTGTTTGAGAAGTTGAGTAATTGTTGGCATTTTTTGAGTTTCTGCAGAGAGATATAGACGTGGAATATAATCTTTTGAAGACGGGCCTTTTAGCTCCAAGTAAGAAGTAAAATTTCTAAAACATAGGGCTTTAAAAATATTTTCAAAAAAATCAAATTTATTAATTTTCATCAATTTAATTAAATTTTGTATTAATTCTCTTTTAGGAGCTCAACTTAACCATAAAATATTTTGAAAAGTTGTGAATTGCAATATGCTTATTCGAAGATGAATAAATTCCAACTTTTATCATATCTGGGCACGTATTTTTTTATGTTTTCGTTGTTCGAATTGGTAAGGATATCGAAGGTTGCATCCGCCATATATTTGATAAAAAAAAAATTTGACTAATGCGCAGGCACCTCATTTTATCTTTTGGATTAAATGGCGATGTCTAAGCCTTCTTTTTATGCCGTTAAAAAGATTCCACATTTCATTGTTATTCTATTAAAAAAGCTCAAAAAAATGGGAAGAAATATTTTTTTTTTACACTTTTAATCCGAAATATCTCAAAAACTAAAGCTAAATGAATAATTTAAAGGCCAGATTCTTAATTTACGAAAAAACAAATTCTACAGGCATCAACTCTCAAAAGCTCTACCACAGTTCTTATTTTAATAATATATAAAACCAATACTATTCGAGTATATGTATTTCGTAAAGCATACATATCTATCATAAACAGTCAGTGCCAAAAATATGAATACCCTGGGGTTTGAAGATTTTATTTACTTATACTTTTCGTACCAAATTTTTCTTATTTTTTTTATAAAAAAATATGTTTCGTTCAACAGCAAAAACCACAAGAATTGTTTTTGACGTAGAATACGTCTTACCTTAAGGTATGGGGGCTTTTTTTAATTTCATACACAAATCGGAAAAATACAATTTCAATTCGATTAGCCCATTAGCATAAGAAAGTGCAAGTTTCAAGTCGCTTAAAATTACCGCTGATTTTTGAGAACTTTTTTGTCGAGGGTGTTGCGCATTTTCTTCCATATAACGCATGAACAAAGTCTTTATATGGAAGAAAATGCCTACAATGACTGCAAATGTCTACAAAGTCGCACTAAAATCAAGAGAGGTTTTATTTTTAAATGATTGTTTTGTAAGTAAAATTGCCACCAGGTTTTGTTTTTATTAATTTTGGAAAAATCCTCTATGGAGAAATAGTTACTTTTATCAGTATGCTCAAAACTTTTCCAGACGTTGGCTCGGTGCCGAAAAAGTTTGTTAAAGTATCAATTTCAAGATTTGCGTCCCACTTATATCACGCCCTCATAGATTGCGTTGATAATGACGTTGCTACCCTCCAGTTTTTGTCTAGTTCACCTAAATGACTATTTATGTATGCACATAATAATAAATAGATTTATTTACAAAATTTATTCTCGTTTAGTTACATATGTTGCTTTGCTTGTTTAAAAATTATTCTAAGAAAATAAATTACTGATAATAGGATTTGACGTCCAAATGTGTGATATTAGCATTCGTCATAAATATATATATAATATATATACTATATAGATAGATCGTTTACTAATATTTACGTTCAAATATATGCAGTACGTATCAGAGTGCGTAGAGCGCTCAAAATTCGCTCTTGCTTTTTCGAGTTATCACCTAAAAAAAACAAAAGCCCAGGAATAATATTTTTAGAGTAAATCGTTGAATGCAACACTCTTGCATACACTCCTCAAACACTTGTATGCTGCTAACTTTAGTGAGCCCCTAAACCTTAATAAGTCGGAGTGACCCCACCGGAAGCCTCCTCTCTTTCTGTCGTGAACCAAGGCTTCACACGAGTTGGTTACCACATTTCGCATATGGGTTTCTCTCATTGCCCCGAGAGCGCGAACAGAGACGCAACCGTCGGGATTGAGTATAGTGATGCAACTATAACTGCATACCCAGCAGCCAATAAGGAGAGGAAAGTCTTTCTGGACTTACGAAAATCGCGAGATGATTGAGAAGAAAATAATTGAATAGTCTACTGAAAATCTAAGGCCCGTGTTAAAAGTGTTTGAATAAAAAATTGCTTACAATCCTGGCTATGTCCTTGTACATATATCTACGTACATATGTAGGTATACTATCAGTGCTTAATACAAAGTCCTCACGCAATTATCGTACAGCACATCAAATTTTTATTACAAAATCTAAACACATATGCATGAGATCACAAAGTATACGGCACGCTTGCCAAACTTATACATATCGTCGAGGTTTTTGCAAAACCGCCCATCGACCAGTTGCAAAACCGCCTAAATCGCCAGGCATCGAGATTTATGCATAAAAATCTTAAAATCGTTATTAAAACAACAGTTTTGTAAAATAATAGTTAGGGAAAACACCGCCGAACAAAGCAATGCATTCAAAGATTAAACCGTTTTTTCGCTCTCCTGTAAAATTTGAGTGCCGTAAGATGGGCGGTTTTGCAAAAAAACATCGACGATATGTACATGCATAGTATGTATTTATTAACAATATGTAATAACATACATAAAATGACCAAAAATAAACAAGCAAATTGTTTAAGTTCATTGGTGAATATGAAACAGGTAAATACTCGTAAACGTGCGAACGTCATTGGAGCTGAATAATGTAGCAAATGTCGGCAATTTGTATGCCTTTATAAGAGTACATCCGCATGCGCTTATGTTAATGTCTACATATGTACACATGTATGTACATTAGGGATGTTAGTTTTTTCACCTTTTCCGATCCCGTGATTTTCGGGACGTCGTTATCACAATCCCGGGGTCCCGCGATTAGTCCCGGGATTTAGATATTCATTAGATACTTTTCAACAACTTGAGTCGAAAAAATTGCTTCTATATTGTTTGAGAAGCTCTCCCACCATGAAATAAATAATACATAAATGCGTTTAAAACTTACTTTTTTATTTAAAGAGGCGTTTTTATTTTTTCTCTATGACTTCAGGATTTATTTTAAAGGACGTTGTAATTTCAAAGATATGATTGATTTCAAAAGTTATTTAAAAAATTCAATGCAATGTAGAATAAAAATAGGGGTACCAAATTAAAGAGGAAGTTCCGAGGATGTTATCGAGTATATATAAGTCCTTAACATATCTATAATTTTTTCAAAAACAAATATTGCGAAATTTCAAAGATAAAATTTTAAAAGGACATTTTAAATACTTACCAGTCCTTCTGCACCAAAAACTTGAATCTGTTTAAATTCTACAGGATTTCCTCCTTAATTTTCTTCTTCTCTAAGGACATATTTCTGAATTTTTTAAATCATTTTTGAATTACTGACGTCAGAGTGAAAAACTAAAAACTCAATTTTACTTTATTTGGCCCATCGTTTCGCGAATATATTGATATTTGAGTTTAAAATTTACTGTCGCGCAGTGTTATATGTTTAATGAGCTAGACAATTTTGAAAAAATATTAATTATTAAATAAACGAATAA